ACAGGATTCCCTTACAGGGGCGACGCCTGTTATAACGTTTCAAAGTTCGACACAGAACGGATGGGAATTGGCCACGATTGTTGAACCTTCTGATCGGCGTTGCTTTTGTGACGAGGTCATGTGGGAGAGCTCAAAACATGCCCTTCCTAACTGTGGAAAGTTGCATCCCTAATTGCACTGCGTGGATGTTGCCATCGTTCAGTCCTCGCCAGGTTCAGGCGCAAAAACCGCCACGTCACGAACAATGGAACGGTTGTCCCAATGTACCAGGCATCTTTCCATAACGCCGCTCCTGGAGATCTCAGCGTCGTTTCGTCTTAACCAGACTGGAGCGGAAAAGTCGCAATGCTGCAAATATATGTAGGGGCTGTTCAAATTGACAATGATATTTCAGAGGATCTGGTATTTTATATGCTTCACGCTTCGCTTCGAATATCCCCACCAGCCCATTCAGAAACCCTTGCCTTCAGAGTTGACGGGAAAAGGGACGAAGAGACACATCTAGGGAAACCAAGCGAGCAAGGGGGTGGCCTTGGCAGCCCTCTTCGGGCCATCCTTGAGTGCCGCGTGGGGACGAAGGGAAGAGGAGGAGGAAGAGGAGGAGGAGGAGGAGGAGGACGAGGAGGACGAGGACGCGGACGAGGACGAGGACGAGGGGGACGAGGACTAGGATGAGGACGGCGCGGACGAGGACTCATGTAACCATCTAGAGGTATTATTGCGGCTGCTGCTGCTGCTGCTGCTGGAGCTCTCTGGGAGTTTTTGGGGCCCTCTTGGAACCCTCTTGGTAACCCTGGAAGGCTACTTGGGATCATCTTGGAGGCCATCGATTGCAGGATGATTGGAGGTCATCTTGGGCTCTGAAAGGCCGCTCGGGGGCCTCTTGGGGGCCTCTCGGGTGCCTCTTGGAGCCCTCTTGGGACCCTCTTCAAGCCCTCTTGGGGCTCTCTTGGGGCTCTTGGGAGCCCTGGAGCGCCTCTTGGGGCCATCTTCGAGGCTATCGATCAAAGGAGGGAGGGTCCCGATCGAGGTCCCCCCCTCGGGGGCCACGATCCTCGTCAGGGGTGTCAAAAATTGGCCCTCCCAGGGGCCAAAAAAAGGCCCGCGAACGACCCGCGAACCCCCCCAAAAAGTCAAGGGGAGGTGGTAAGGGGAGGGGTAAACCCTTCCCCGAAGGGGAAGAGGGATTGTGGAAGAGGAAAGAAATAATCCCGTTAGACCACCTACGCCCAGAGGGCTGGTGGGATTTGGCACTCAGGTGAGCCACCTGGCAAAGAGTGTTGCACCCCAAAGTTGTCGTTGTCACAAGATGAGTCAACCGTCGCGTCGTCCCCAGATGCGTCCATTGAGGGATTTGCCTGAAGTTGCGGGATTCATAAGTCATCGCTGACTCGGTCCGGTAAGCCTGGTTGAAGCGTGGCCTTCGCGGGGAGCAGCGGCGCACGTCATTGGCGCGGCCCTAGCGAACGGAAACAGGAATGAGCGAGGGAGGCCTGGAGGACAGGAAGAACTGGCGGCGGCGGACGGGTGCGGACCTGACACCCAGAGGTCTCAGGAGAGGTTTCCGCGAACGGGCCAATCTTCGAGGCTCGAGGGTTCAAAAGAGGTTTGGGAAAGGCGTCGACGGAGCGGACCCGCCCCAGGGAGCCGCCCCAGGGGGGCTGCCGCCGTCTGGAAACATGAGCATGGCGGAGTCTTGATGCTTACGGAATCGACGAAGACGCCGACGAAAACGCCGACGAAGACGCCGACGACGAAGGAGACGACAACGACGAGGGGGAGGGGGACGACGACAACGACGACGAAGACGACGACGACGACAACGACGACGACGGTGACCCCGAGGACGGTGGCAGTGCCGACGACGACGATCACGACGACGAAGACGACGACGCAACCTGGCAGGGAGGAGCAGGGGAAGGAGGAGGAGGAGGAAGGAGAGGAGGAGGAGGAGGAGGAGGAGGAGGAGGAGGAGGAGGAGGAGGAGGAGGAGATGGAGGAGAAGGAGGAGCATGAGGAGGAGGAGGAGGAGGAGGAGGATGAGGAGCAGAAGGAGGACGAGGAGGAGGAGGAGGAGGAGGAGGAGGAGGAGGAGGAGGAGGAGGAGAAGGAGGCGGAGGACCCGTCCAGCGGCGGCCGGGACGAGCGCCCCGCGGCGCCCTGAGGACGCGTCCGGCGACCTGCGGGACGCCAAGAGGCGGATGCGGTCGGCGAGGCGGCGGGGTCGCCGCCGCCGCGCCGCGCAGGGGTCGTCGGCTTCGTCGTCGTGATCGTCGTTGTCGGCACCGCGGCCGCCGTCGGGCTCGCCGTCGTCGCCGTCGCCGTCGCCGCGCCCTCCCCGTCGCCGTCGTCGCCGTCGTCGGCGTCGTGTCTTCGTCGGCGCCGTCGCCGTCGCCGTCGCCGTCGCCGTCGTCCCTCCTTCTTCTCCTCCTCCTCCTCCTCCTCCTCATCCTCCTCCTCCTCCTCCTCCTCCTCCTCCTCACGACTCACGACTCACGACTCACGACTCACGACTCATCCTCATCCTTCGTGCTGATCCCATGAGGTTTCACGCCTCTTCGCTGGATTCCAGGGCGACTGGCTGAGAAGGAGGAGGGTAGGTTTGAAGGGAGCAGCAGCATCATGAGAGCGTGGGAAAGAGAAGGAGGGATAGTAGAAGAGGAGGTGGACAACCGTCCAAGGCAGTTCGGCCCTGGATTTTCCACTGGCCGGGTGCTCGCGCACCCAACCTCTTCTTCCCGTCCTCGTCTTCTTCCTCCTCCTTTTCCCAGACATCCTCGCCTCTCTCTCTCTCTCTCCTTCTCCTCCTACTTCTGCACTTCCCCTCTTCGTCTTCCAGCTCCTCGAACCACCGCACCATCCTTCACATCCTCCTGTTCCTTCTCCCGCTCCTTTGCCTCCCTCTCCACACCCTCTCTCTCCTCCGACCCCTCGTTCTTCGCTTCATCCTCATCCACCTCCTCCCGTCACGCCTCACCGTGCTTGGGCAGGGTGTCCCCCTTTCGCGCCCGGCCCCTCTCCCCCACTGAAAGCCGACGTTGCAAACAAATGCAGCATCGCAAAAAATCACGACCCGACCCCCAGACCCCATCTTTCTGCGTCAGTCCTCGAGCCGGATCGATCTGTGAGGGTCCCCGGGCCCGAAAAGGGAGCGAAAACGCCCGGCTCGGAAACATTGGGCCGCCAGCGTCTCAGGGCCATCCCCGCCTCTCCCCCTAGCCCCGGCAGCCCGCAGCCCGCAGCCCCCCTGCCCGCCCCCCCCCACCCCCCGGGGCCCCCTTCCCCAGACCCCTGGCGTCATGATTCACGACGTCCACCCCCGGAGGTTTTGGACCCCTTCCCCGGGACGGGCTTTTCATCCCGAGTCGTTTGTCACGGCCCCGAGGCCGGGCAGGGGCCCCCAGAGGCCGACACCAGCGGAGAGCCTCCCGTCGCGATTTTGGTCACGACCCGAGGGGGCTTGAGCCCCGGGCCCCCCCCATTCCCTCGCCTGCAGGGCCAGGGACCCACGGTGGAAACGCGCTCGCGCTCTGGCCCTCGTCGCCGCCGCTCGCCGGCGCCCCAGGGTTCCCCGGAAGCTTCGCAGGGAGGGCGGAGTGGCTCGCCCACGCCCGCGCGCGCTCGCCAGACCTGCGTCGGGCAGGTCCCTCGACAGGGGGGGATCTACTCAAGAAGAGAAAAATTCTCTGGGGACGATGTGTCGTTCATTTGGGACTTTTTTTGTTGTTGACTCTTTTTCATGTGACCGCCGTTGGGCTGGCGTGTTTTCCGATGAAGACGGGCGACTTCTGCGGCTACCGCCACAACGAACCCTCTTCCGTGTGCGCAGCAGCTGATGTCGACATTCGTCCCCGTTCCAGCCCCCCCCCCCCTGGATCGCTCGCGCCCACTCGCTCGCTCGCCAGCCCTGGACGCACGGCCTCTTCGGGGAAGGGAGGACTGACTGGCTCGTTCTCGCCGGCTCGACGGCCGACCCAGCCACGCACATCATGCGGCCGGCGCCTTCTAAGAGGGGGCCTCCTTCCAAGAAGCCTTTCCCCCCTCCCTCTGTCCCTCCCGAGATCCGACGTTGCAAACAGGAAGGCAGCGTCGCAAAACGTCACGACCCGACCCCCGGACCCCATCTTTCTGCGCCAGCTTTCGAGTCGCATCGATCTGCGAGGATCTCGGGGCCCGAAAGGGAGCGCACACGCCCAGCTCGGAAACATTGGGCCGCCAGGATCTCTGCCCCCTTGTGCGCGCCGCCAACCCCGAGCATTTCCTTCGGGTGGAGGGCAAAGAGTAAAGTCCGACATGCCGTTTCGGTTGATTTTCGAGGTCTGAACCTGCCAACGGTGACTCACGAGGCGGATGGATTCTCGAGGTGCAGAAGCCGCTGTGGATTCCACCCCGAGTCCTCCACCCGAAGAACATGCTCAGCAGCCGAGGCTCTCCTTCCTGGAGGGCGGCCTGGACCCGGACGGCGCCGCGCCCTCCGCGGCCAGCGGCGGCTCCAGGCAGCAGCAGCCCCGGGCCGCCGCGGCCCGCTCGGGCGCCAGCCCGGGCCGCGGTGCGCCGCCGCGCCCCGAGCCAGCGGCACGCCTGCAGCGTCTGCTCGCGTGTCCACCGTGCTGCTGCTTGCGAGTCGGGCGTGTCCCCCTGCAGGAGGAAGATCTGGAAATAGTGAACACCTCGTCTGGGGACGATGTCTTGTGTGTTGTAGTGTGGCCTCTGGCCAGTGCCGCCGATCCGGGGCGCTCCAGATGATGATGATGATGATGATGATGATGATGATGATGATGATGATGATGATGATGATGATGATGATGATGATGATGATGATGATGATGATGATGATGATGATGATGATGATGATGATGATGATGATGATGATGATGATGATGATGATGATGATGATGATGATGATGATGATGATGATGATGATGATGATGATGGGATGGTGATGGTGATGGTGATGGTGATGATGATGGTGATGGTGATGGTGAGATGGTGATGATCCCGCCCCCCCCACCCCCCCCTCCTCTCTCCTGTCTCTCTCCTGTCCCCCCCCTCTCTCCTCCCCCCCCTCTCTCCTGTCCCCCCCCCTCTCTCCTGTCTCCCCCCCCTGTCCCCCCCCCCCTCTCCCCCCCTCTCTCCTGTCCCCCCCCCCTCTCTCCTGTCCCCCCCCCCCTCCCCTTGCAGAACGCCCATCTGCAAAGCGGACCGCCTTTCCCTGCAGCTCCCGCTCCCGCCTGAGAGGACCCACCCCCTTTGCAGCCCCCCCCCCTTGCAGAGCGCCCCCCCCCTCTCCTGCCTTCACCCTTGCAGAGCAAAACTCCGGGGGGGGGGGGGGGGGCCGAAAGCGAGGGCGGGGGGGGGGCTGGCAGGGGTGGGGGTGGGGGGAGGTGCCGAGCACTGAATTCGACAGTTAATGAGGTCCCCCCCTCCCCCCCTCCCAAGCAGAGCTAAAGCTCATGCTGAAGCAGAGCTTCAGCTTAGAAGTCTTAAGCTCACACGCCGGCTCGGCGGATGTCTTGACTGTCTTTGAGCACTGTTAGAGAATTCTTCTACTGTTCGTCCAGCAGACGCCTCTGTAGGCGGACCTGCCCGACCTCATTCTGTGCGTCCCCGCGTGCTCTGTGTGCCCTCCCTTTTGCCTTGCCCCTTCCGCCTTGGGCGTGCTGGGCATTCGGGCCTGTGTCCCCCCTCGTCTATGGCAACACCTGTGACTTGGAGTTGCTTCCTTAGCCTCCTCCTCCCCCTCCTCCTCCTCCTCCTCCTCCTCCTCCCCCTCTTCCTCCTCCTCCCCTTACCCCTCCTCCTTCCTCCCTCCTCCCCTCTCTCCCCCATCCTTCCTCCCTCCTCCCCTCCCTCCCCCATCCTTTCTCCCCGCTTCGTTCTCCCCAGGAGTTGTGACTCGATCCGCCGCCGTGTGCTTTCAGTGATGCCGCGAAGGCCGTGACCGGCCGACCCTGCAGGCGGGGCCCCTCCCTCAGGACCCCCGCTGTCGACCCCTCCTTGGACCCGCCGGGACCCGTGGGGGGCCGGCATTCTGACCTCGGACCGCCCTCCACCACCCACTACGCACACGCGCGCGGAGCCACAGGTCCGCTACGACACGCGTCTGCGGATAGAGAAAATCAGCGCCATGGTAAGGGATGGGAGGGAGGGGTAGGATGTCAGATGTTGACGCGAGCGCACCTAACTTGTCCCCCCCCCTCTCCTCGCCCCCTGGCAGGGAAGGGAAGATGCGAAGGGAGCCGGCTCAACTACAGCGTTCCTTTTCCTTGTTCTTCAATTTCCTGAGGCCTGCCGGAGACGACGGCGCCGACGACGGCGACGACGACGGCTCAAACAGAAAAGCACACAGCACCATACTCTGCTCTCGGGTCCTCCTCCTTTCTTCTCGGTCATCCCCCTCTTCTGGCGGTGTGCCGGTCTTTCCTGCAGTGCGCCGTACTGTTGTGCACCGAGTCCTTGGCAGCTACAATGTTGGTGTGCTGCCGAGCTGAGGGCCGTAACATTATCGCTGGGCGTTGCCGTTCTTGTTTGGTTTCTGGGAGTGCCCTTGGGTGTACGCCCCTCTGGGCACCCGCTTTTCGGGCTCTGCGTTGTCCTTCTCCTCCTCCTGTCTCACGCTCGGTCCAGTGCGCACCACGATGATAATTTCAGAGTGTGCAGGCTTTTTTGTGGGGGTAAGGATGATACATATGATTCGTCCCCATCATTCATTTTTCATTCCAGTTCGTACCATCCGAGCCACATTGGTAACGACACCACCGCCATGTCAGGCGAAACATAGAATGTGGTACACATACGTTTATCTAAGAAGTGTATTATTGTAAGGTCCCTTGTGGCGAGTTCATTACGGGGCACATATATTTATATATATATATATACACATATCTGTACATATATATATATATATATATATGGCGCGCGCCGCTCATTACGGGGCATATTCAGCTCCTTTATCTTTACAAGCCCGGGGGGGGGAGGAAAACCCTCACCCCCCCCCCAAAAAAAAAAAACTTGACCCCCGGGATCTGGGTTTCTCGGGTTCCCTTGGACGTCCTTGGAAAAGGTCACCCGGCTTTCCGGGTCTCCACAAACGCCTTGCCAGCAGACCCAGAGCGATCCGAGGGGTCATCAGAAATGCTCAAGGGAGGCCCCAGACAGCACAAGAGCGCTCCGAGAGGGACTCCAATTGCGTCAGGACGGCCCAAAAGACCCCCAAGGCACCCCAAAAAGCTGTCCAAGGGGCCTTCAAAGCACAGACATCTTCCCATTCCCGTTTTAAAACTTACAATGTTAGCATATTCGCCTTCCGGATTTCATCAGCTTTCAAGACGGTTTCAAAGCCCCCGAGATCGCCTCCAGACGCCCCAAAAGGCCCCCAAGAAAGCTTCAAGACGGACGAGCCAGGCCCCACGATCGCCCACGAGAACCCCAAGACAGCCCATAATGGAAACAAGAGGCCCCCCAAGGGCTCCCAGCACAGACCCAAAAGGGCCATGGGAGGTCCCCGGAAGTGCCCAAGATGGGTCCAAAGGGGGCTCCAGCGTGCCCAAGCTCCCCAAGACGGCTCAAGAAGGCCCCAGGACGGCCCATGAAGGCGCCAAAACGGCCCATGAGGGCCCCGAAAACACCCCCACGATGTTCCCGAATGCCAACAGAAAGACCCCCAAGGCACCCCAAAATGCTTTCCAAGGGGCCTTCAAAAAACAGACATCGCCCATTCCCGTCTTAAAACTTACAATTTTAGCATATTCGCCTTCCGGATTTCATCAGCTTTCAAGACGGTTTCAAAGCCCGCGAGATCGCCTCCAGACGCCCCAAAAGGCCCCCTTAGAAAGCTTCAGGACGGACGAGCCGGGCCCCACGATCGCCCACGAGAGCCCCAAGACAGCCCATAATGGAACCAAGAGGCCCCCCAAGGGCTCCCAGCACAGACCCAAAAGGGCCATGGGAGGTCCCCGGAAGTGCCCAAGATGGGTCCAAAGGGGGCTCCAGCGGGCCCAAGCTCCCCAAGACGGCCCAAGAAGGCCCCAGGACGGCCCATGAAGGCGCCAAAACGGCCCATGAGGGCCCCGAAAACACCCCCACGATGTTCCCGAATGCCAACAGAAAGACCCCCAAGGCACCCCAAAAAATTTTCCAAGGGGCCTTCAAACTACAAAAATCGTCCCGTTCCCTTCGTAAAACTTACAATTTTAGCCTATTCGCCTGTCGGATTTCATCAGCTTTCAAAACGGTTTCAAAGCCCGCGAGATCGCCTCAAAGCGCTCCAAAAGGCCCCCTTAGAAAGCTTCAGGACGGACGAGCCGGGCCCCACGATCGCCCACGAGAGCCCCAAGACAGCCCATAATGGAACCAAGAGGCCCCCCAAGGGCTCCCAGCACAGACCCAAAAGGGCCATGGGAGGTCCCCGGAAATGCCCAAGATGGGTCCAAAGGGGGCTCCAGCGGGCCCAAGCTCCCCAAGACGGCCCAAGAAGGCCCCAGGACAGCCCATGAAGGCGTTAAAGCAGCCCATGAGGGCCCCGAAAACACCCCCACGATGTTTCCGAATGCCAACATTCATCGATTGTGCTCCCATGATATTTCACATTGTGACCTAGTCGTTGAGGGTCTCGTGGCATTCAGCGAAGATGCCAGAGGATGCCCCTTACGAGTTGCATATGCATGTTCATACCCTTACTCACATACAATTATATGTAGACATGTATGCCGTATACACACAACAATGTAAGTATATTGTATACACCTGGACATGTATACGGATGGTGCATGCACGTGCGCGTGCATGCGCGCATGTACGCACGCACGCATTCCGCTTGCGTGCAGAACTCAGAGGACCAAGGTGCATGGCGCGCAGCGCCAATGCAGTCTTGTGTGTATATATATATATATATATATTCTCATACGCACCTCTCCGAGGGAGTAGAGCTCAGAGGCGATTAATGCGCACGCGTCCGCGATTTTTCTGGGCGTTTCGCTCGGGACATCCTCGAAATTCTGAAAATCGGTGGCACCCCTCACGCAGATCGTGACGTCAGGGTCCAAAAACACATGGGAATTTCAACATTTTAACAAAACCTTCAAAAACACATGGTAATTTCAATAATTGTGACCCCGATTCTCAGGGGATGGCGGTTTCACTTGAAAAATCCTTCCAAAATCGAGCCCCAGACCCCGCCTCGGAGCCTCCTGGGGGCCTCCTGGATCCTCCTGGGGCCTCCTGGGGCTTTCTGAACCTTCTGGCACCCCAGACCCCGCCTCGGAGCCTCCTGGGGGTCTCCTGAAACCTCCTGGGGCCTCCTGGGGCCTCCTGCGGCCTCCTGGAGCCTCTTGGGGCCTCCTGAAGCCTCCTGGGGTCTCCTGGGGCCTCCTGAGGCCGCCTGGGGCTTCCTGGGGCCTCCTGGGGCTTCAGAACTACATGCACACAGAGACACAAATCACGCCCAACACATCACACGCTAGACAAACATAACACACACACACACACACACACACCACACCTACAACACACAAAAAGCACGCACCACACAAAGCATACATCACACACACACACACACACACACGCACAACACTCACAATCCTGGGGCCTCCTGGAGCCTCTTCTGGTATCCAAGTCGGGCCTTCTGAGGCTTCCTGGGGGGTCCTGGTACACACATCGCAAGGTGAGGCAACCCCACTTGCGCTCGAGTGCGACTTCGATGTTGCATTTCACTCCTGCTTCAAACGCCCCTTCAGTTTTTTGTATGAGCCTGGGCACACACGTGCCACTTGTATATATATATATATATATATATATACACATGGCGCGCGCCGCTGCGCGCGCACGTCAAAATCACTCCCAATCCAGTGATTGGTTTCCGTTTTCAAGAATATGGCCGGTGGTTGTTTAACAATTTTGGGGCATGGCGAGCCGAAAACAATGAAAGCAATTATTGTTTATTCAACCAAACAGGAATCAAGCTTATTCTGTGCGCGCAGATCGAAATCTTGCAAAACCACGTGTGTTTAGCCAGATGGTCAAATCAGACCAACTGGGTCATTTTCGCGAGCATTTCGAAAACGTTCAATCACCATCGCGCGCCCACCAATTCTGTCAAACTGTACAATGCGGGCCGCGCACGCGCGTTCGCCGCGCGCGCCGAAATCCTTATGCAACCATTGGTGTCTGATCATTTCAGCACAGTTGTGTGCAACAGCACAGGAGGTCTTTGGCTTGAACAAGAAAATGTCAGTGTGTCAGACTTTCTGCGGGCGCGGAATCTCATCATCCTCATCAGCACAATCGTCATCATCAGCGTCATCGTCGCCATTGCCATCGTCATCAGCAGCATCAACCATACCATCGTCGTCATCATCAGCGCCGCCGTCATCATCGTCACCTTCGATGTCGTCGCCCTCGTCACATGTGTACGCGCAGGTACTTCTTCACCTTCATCATTATCATCACCAGCACCATCTCCATCACCATCGCCAACGTCATCATTGGCACCGCCGTTATCATCACCATCTGCTGCATCAGCACTATCGTCGTCGCCCACACGGTATTGCCCCCATCGCCACTTGCATCACCATTGACTTCAGCGTCACCATCACTGTCATCGCCATCATGGGCGTGGTGGGTGTCGCCATCGCCATCATCGTTTCGTGACCTGCAAGACGAGCTTGCTTGCGCGGCTGAGTTCACGCGTTCGTGCGCTTGTCGGGATCATTGCCAGATGAGTTTTGCCAACATGCGGCGGGTGGGATGGTGGGGTGCTTGCACGAGCATCAGAGTTGACGATTGCCATGTGCTTAGGTGGGTTGCACCACGCATAATGCACTGCAGAGAAACATATCCTACTCCTTCTTTAGGGGGTCCACGCCTGCAAACATATGGCCATAAGCATCCAGCTGTGCTAGAGTCAAACGGGTTGACGGCGGCTTCTTGTCAAAATCGTGGTTGCGATGGGCGTGTCTTCGAATGCCAGGGCCCGGCCTTGTCGCTAAACCTTATCGCTTGAACGATGCAGCTGCAGGGCCGTTTCTTTTGGTACAGAGCTCCCGCTTGCATGGCGGGTCCATAGGGGTCTCGTCTTTCAACGGGAGCGTTTCGCGCGGCAAAGAAGAGCGCCCTCAGCGACGGGTTGGAGAGGGGACTTGGGACGGAAGGGGTTACCGCAGCGTTTTTGAGACACCTTGGGTTGGTCCTGATCCTCCATCCTCCTCGTCGCCCCCCTCCTCCTTCTGCCCCCTCTCCTCATGAGGCAACCCCTAGGATATTAAATTCAGCATCGCCGCTGGTATATCTGTCGTCGCAAACCAGCGCAATCTTCCAAAGTCCCGCTGAATTCGTACAAATCCCGCTAGGTCCGAATTCGTCGGGCATAGCCCTGGGTTTAATCTCGGCTAGTCCTACTTCATGGGCCCTTGCTCGGGCGTAAACCATTCAAAGACTTCCCAGGAGTTGCCTTGCAGTCCTTCTCCGTCTACCTCCCCTCCCTCTCCTCCCTCCTCCTACCTCGTCTTCCTCCTCCTCCTCCTCCTCCTCCTCCTCCTCCTCCTCCTTGTCGGCCTCCTGCGATCGCTGGTCAGGTGCCCCTGGCCACTTCGGTCCCGACGCCGACGCCCCCGACGTCGCCGCCGCCGCCGCCGACGACGACGACGACGAGGAGGACGACGAGGGCCACCACGACCACGCCCACGGCGGGGGCGACGACGACCGTCGCCGTCGTCGCCGTCGTCGAGGGCGGGGTCGTGGGCGTGGGCGGCGGCGGCTGCGAAGAAGACGACGACGGCGACGACGACGGCGGCGGCGGCCGGGCAGGTGCCAGCGGCCTGGCCAGCACCGCGTCGATGGGGGCGCTGTCGGCCGCCGCGGCCACGGCGCCGCCGATGTCGCGGCAGCCCTCGGCTGCGTCGCTGCGCGCGTCCCCTGCGCAGTTGGCGCGGCCGAGCTCAACTGGACCGCGGGTGCCGCGCGCCTCGTCCCCGCCTCCGCCGCCGTTGGCAGGGCCCTCGTCGGAGTCGTCGCCGGCGGCGGCGACGACGTCCGTCCGGATTCGACTCCCCCCTCGGCCCCTCCAGGGGGCTCCCGCCCTGGCCGGCCTTCCCGGGCTGCGCGCCGAGCCGCGTCAGCGGGATTTGCTAGGAACGCCTGCAAAGCTCCACGCCGACGACGACGACGACGACGAAGACGACGACGACGACGACGACGACGACAGCTGTGACGACAGCAACGGGGGCGCATCGGCGCCGCGGGGATGGCGACGCCCTCGGCGCCACTGTCGTCGTTGTCGCCGTCGTCGCCGCTTTCGCCGGCTCTGCCGCCGCCGCCGCCGCCGCCGTCGCCGCCGCCGCCGCCGCCGCCGTCGTCGTCGTCGTCGTCGTCGTCGTCGTCGTCGTCGGGCGCGGCGGCAGCGGCGGCGTCGTCGTCGTCGTCGGCGGCTGCGGCGGCGTCGTCGTCGTCGGCGACGCCCTCGGCGCTCGCAGGAGCCCTGCTCGGAGCCCCGCGCGGGGCTCACGGGGCTCCCCGGAGCACTGCGGCCGGCGGCTGGCCACCGCCGGCTGGAGGCCCGTCGCCGCGTCGCCACCGCCGCCGCTGGGGGCCCTCGGGGGCCGATCCGAGCGATCCGAGCTGGTCCGATTCGATAACGATTCAGCGGAGGAACAGGTACCCATGCCCAGACCCCCATCGAGCAATTACCCTGGCGACGTGCCCAACCCTTGCGCAATGCGGGGCCTAAGTACATCCGGAGTGCTACAGCGGGGACGATGACGTAACATGGACGCATGTGATTTTGCGAGCAGCAATCGGAAGGCTCGCAGGCCCCCGATCAAGATCTAAGGGCTACGTTAGTACAACAAGCCACCCCCGTTGGCTGTTCCATGCGCCCGTTGCACCCAACGTATCCCGCAGCAGCTCTTGAGAGACCCCGCGGGATACGTCTAGGCGCAACGTTATGGCCATCGCCCAGCAGATGGTCTGTTTCACAAGTCACCCCCGTTTGCTGTGCCATGCGCCCGTTGCGCCTAACGTATCCCGCAGCAGTTCTCCAGAGCCCCCCCAGGGACGGCGAGGTCCCGCTCAGATCCCCGCGGTGCCTCAGTCCGCAGGACCCACCAGCAGCCATCGAAAGTGGAACAGCGTCGCAGATCGCAGCCCCCAGGGACGGCGAGGTCCCGCTCAGATCCCCGCGGTGCCTCAGTCCGCAGAACCCAACAGCAGCCCTCGAAATTGGTGACAGTGTCGCAGACCGCAGCCCCCCAGGGACGGCGAGGTCCCGCTCAGATCCCCGCGGTGCTTCAGTCCGCAGGACCCACCAGCAGCCCTCGAAAGTGGCGACAACGTCGCAGATCGCAGCCCCCCAGGGACGGCGAGGCCCCGCTCAGATCCCCGCGGTGCCTCAGTCCGCAGGACCCACCAGCAGCCATCGAAAGTGAAACAGCGTCGCGCGGCCCCCCAGGGACGGCGAGATCCCGCTCAGATCCCCGCGGTGCCTCAGTCCGCAGGACCCACCAGCAACCCTCGAAAGTGGCGACAGTGTCGCAGACCGCAGCCCCCCAGGGACGGCGAGGTCCCGTTCAAATCCCCGCGGTGCCTCACCCCGCAGGACCCGCCAGCAGCCCTCGAAAGTGGCGACAGTGTCGCAGATCGCAGCCCCCCAGGGACGGCGAGGTCCCGCTCAGATCCCCGCGGTGCTCAGTCCGCAGGACCCACCAGCAGCCCTCGAAAGTGGCGACCGCAGATCGCAGCCCCCAGGGGGCGAGGTCCCGCTCCGCGGTGCCTCAGCCCGCAGGACCCACCAGCAGCCCTCGAAAGTGGCGACAGTGTCGCAGACCGCAGCCCCCCAGGGACGGCGAGGTCCCGCTCAGATCCCCGCGGTGCCTCAGTCCGCAGGACCCACCAGCAGCCCTCGAAAGTGGTGACAGTGTCGCAGACCGCAGCCCCCCAGGGACGGCGAGGTCCCGTTCAGATCCCCGCGGTGCCTCAGTCCGCAGGACCCACCAGCAACCCTCGAAAGTGGCGACAGCGTCGCAGACCGCAGCCCCCCGGGGACGGCGAGGTTCCGTTCAGATCCCCGCGGTGCCTCAGTCCGCAGGATCCACCAGCAACCCTCGAAAGTGGCGACAGACAGTGTCGCAGACCGCAGCCCCCCAGGGACGGCGAGGTCCCGCTCAGATCCCCGCGGTGCCTCAGCCCGCAGGACCCACCAGCAGCCCTCGAAAGTGTCGACAGTGTCGCAGATCGCAGCCCCCCAGGGACGGCGAGGGCCCGCTCAGATCCCCGCGGTGCCTCAGTCCGCAGGACCCACCAGCAGCCCTCGAAAGTGGCGACAGTGTCGCAGACCGCCGCTCCCCAGGGACGGCGAGGTCCCGCTCAGATCCCCGCGGTGCCTCAGCCCGCAGGACCCACCAGCAGCCCTCGAAAGTGGCGACAGTGTCGCAGACGCAGCCCCCAGGGAGGTCCCGCTCAGATCCCCGCGGTGCCTCAGTCCGCAGGACCCACCAGCAGCCCTCGAAAGTGGCGACAGAGACGCAGCCCCCGGCGAGGCTCAGATCCCCGCAGCTCGAAAGTGGCGACAGTGTCGCAGATCGCAGCCCCCAGGGAGGTCCCGCTCAGATCCCCGCGGTGCCTCAGCCCGCAGGACCCACCAGCAGCCCTCGAAAGTGGCGGCAGTGTCGCAGACCGCAGCCCCCAGGGAGGTCCCGCTCAGATCCCCGCGGCGCCTCAGCCCGCAGGACCCACCAGCAGCCCTCGAAAGTGGCGACAGTGTCGCAGACCGCAGCCCCCCAGGGACGGCGAGGGCCCGCTCAGATTCCCGCGGTGCCTCAGTCCGCAGGACCTACCAGCAGCCCTCGAAAGTGTCGCAGACCGCAGCCCCCCAGGGACGGCGAGGTCCCGCTCAGATCCCCGCGGTGCCTCAGCCCGCAGGACCCACCAGCAACCCTCGAAAGTGGCGACAGTGTCGCAGATCGCAGCCCCCAGGGAGGTCCCGCTCAGATCCCCGCGGTGCCTCAGCCCGCAGGACCCACCAGCAGCCCTCGAAAGTGGCGACAGTGTCGCAGACCGCAGCCCCCAGGGAGGTCCCGCTCAGATCCCCGCGGCGCCTCAGCCCACAGGACCTACCAGCAGCCCTCGAAAGTGGCGACAGTGTCGCAGACCGCAGCCCCCCAGGGACGGCGAGGTCCCGCTCAGATTCCCGCGGTGCCTCAGCCCGCAGGACCCACCAGCAGCCCTCCAAAATGGCGACAGTGTCGCAGATCGCAGCCCCCCCCACGGCCTCCCCAGCAGCCCTCGAAAGTGGCGAAAGTTTCTCCGATCGCAGCCCCCCAGGGATGGCGAGATCCGCACAAAGCAAGAGGAGACAAGAGGGGAGCGGTAGAAAGAAGACGGGAGGAGGAGGAGAGGGAGGAGGAGGAGGACTGGAGACCGCAGTGCTCTATTCAAAACGACTACCCAACCAGGTACCCACACCCAGACCCCCTGGAGCAATGACAAAATCACGACGGGAGGTGTTTCACAATTTTCGGCCTCCGGGGGCTCTACTGGACCTCGGGACCGTCAAACAACGACTCTGGATGAAGAACCGGTCCCTGGGAATGGGTCCAGACCTTTTGGGGTCGACGTAATGAAAATATCATGACGTCGGGTGTCTGGGTACCGCTACGCTTCGCCCCGTTCTTTGTGTTGTTGCTTCATTTTTTGGGGGGGGGGGGGCCTCCTGGGTGGCCCTCGTCGCCAGCGCTTGCTTCGCCTCGAAGTCCTGGTCAGAACGCACCCCTGGAGAGATCCAGGGGTGGGTCTATTTTTGTCTCCCCATCGACTCCGGCAGGCTCGATCCGATTTGATTCCGATATTCCGACGATCCGATGCGGCCCGATGCGTGCATGGTCGCTAGTGTGCATCCTGGCGCGGCCGATCCCATTTCGATCCCGACTCCGTGTCGATGCGGCCCGATCCGACGTGCATGTCGATTCAGTCCGATTTCCCGATTCGATGCTGACTGATCTTACCTCTGGTCAGAAGAGGAAAAAGGTACTGATACCGCTGCTCGTTCTGGAGAGCTCTCGTCGCCGCGGCTGGACTCTCTTCGAATTTCTGGTCATAATACAAACCAGAAAAACTCCGAGGAGTGGGGGCATCGGTGCCTTTTGGTTTCCGCACCTCGGGGAGTCGTCGGGGGGCCCTCGGAGACCGTCGTCGTCGTCGTCGTCGTCGTCGTCGTCGTCGTCGTCGTCGTTGTTGTCATCGTCGTCGCCGTCGTTGTCTTTGTCGTCGTCGTCGTCGTCGTCGTCGTCGTCGTCGTCGTCGTCGTCGTCGTCACGTCAGCGCAGTGTCCGCCATCTTTGTCGTCGTCTCGTCAAACGTACGTAGGGACAGTCACAGCGTTCGCCACCAGAGGAGGAGGAGGAGGAGGAGGAGGAGGAGGAGGAGGAGGAGGAGGAGGAGGAGGAGGAGGAGGAGGAGGAGGAGGAGGGAGGAGGAAGAGGAGGAGGAGGGAGGGAGGGAGGAAGGAGGGAGGAGGGAGGGAATGGGGGGGGCAGCAGGAGGAAGGAGGATGGGCATGAGGGGGATAAGGGATGGGGGGGGGCACAGGAGGGGAGGGAAGGAGGGAGGATTTGGAGGAGAATGATCACGTTGGATGAGGAGGAGGATGCGGAGCAGGGGCGGCGGGAGGGAAGTATGACACCAGCGAGGGGGAAGGAAGAGAGACAGAGGAGGAAGTGATCCTCCTCCTCCCTCCCTCCCTTCTCTCTCCCTCCTTCCTCATCCTCCTCATCATTTTGCATTGGCCAGTCATGGAGCTGAACTCGTTCAGTGAGGTGGTCAGCGGTGTTAGTGCGAGTGGAAGACAGAATAGAGTTAGTGTGCGGTAAAGACATGGCAGCTGGAACTTCGGAAATTCATGTTTTTTTCTAGAGGAGCAGCATGCATACATCAAAGTACACAGTCAGGAACGTTTGCTTAATGTGCCGCGGCTCTGTTTCTGGCCCACCAAGTTTCTGCGCGACACGCTAGCCACATCCCAGCCCCCACGCGTCAACGCCTCGAGCGGGCTTGAGGTGTGACGGTCTGGTCATGAGTCGAATTGCGAATGAATTGGAGTGTGAATGAGTCTCAGTAGTACGAGCGCGCCTCTGCGCATGAGCCTGGGGCCTCCTGGGGCCTCCTGAAACCTCCTGGGGCTTCCTGGGACCTCCAGGAGCCTCTTGGGGCCTCCTGGGGCCTCTTGGGGCTTCGAGTGGCCTCCTGAGGCATCCTGGAGCCTCGCGTGGCCTCCTGGGGCCTCCTGGAGCCTCCTGGGACCTCCTAGGGAGGATTCGTGCCCCAGGAGAGGCCCAATCTATAGTAACAGACGTACATAAAACGTTGTGGATTGGAGCCGCAGGAGAAGGGCAATCTATAGGACCACACGTGAAACACCAAGGACTCGTGCTCCAGGGGAGGCCCAATATCTAGAAGCACACGCAAACCATGTAGGATTGTATACACAGGAGAAGGACACTACATACATATATATATATATATATATATAAACATACGTATAACATCAAGGACTCGTGCTCCAGGTGAGGCCCAATCTATAGGAGCATACTTACAACCCATGGGATTGGAGCCACTCCTGTTGCCTTCTGAGGCCTCCTGCTCCTGGGGCCTCTCGGGGCCTTCTGCTGCTTCCTGAGGCCTCCTGGAGCTTCCTGGGGCATCCTGGAGCCTCTTGGGACATCCTGTGGCATCTTGAGTCTTCCTGTGGCCTCCTGATGCCTCCTGGGACCTCATGTGGCCTCCTGGGGCCTGGAGCCTGCTGGAGCCTCCTGTGGCATCCTGGGGAGAATCTGCGCCCACGAGTCTGGCCACCCAAACAGGCAAACCGATCGAGACATCCTCAACATCTGGCCCCCCTGGGGGGGCGACAAGGAGCGCCTCGCTCGAGACATCCTCCAAATTTGCTCCGAAAACGAAGGACGTTGAGCACGCAAACAGGCAAACCGCTCGAGACATCCCCGCCACCTTTGCGCGAACGGAGGCCGTGCAGCACTCCCTAGCGCCCCCCCATTAGGAGGCGTCTCGCACGAGACATCTTCATCATCTGCTCCGAAAACGAAGGATGTTGAGCATGCAAAAGGGCAACCCGCTGGAAACATCCCCGCCACCTTGGCGCGAACGGAGGCCGTGCAACACCCCCTGGCGCCCCCCCTTTGGAGTGCTAAAACCAACAAACCGCTCGAGACATCTTCATCATCTGCTCATCGTCATCGTCGTCATCATCATCATCATCATCATCATCATCATCATCATCATCATCATCAGTATCAGTATCAGCATAATCATCATCATCATCATTGACATCCTTTTCCTCCTCATCACCATCATCATATTCACCAATCACTTACCATCACCATCATACTCACATCATGCTCTCGTCTAGTGCAGAGAGAGAGGAAGGGAAGTGTAGAGGTCCGGCGCGGTGAGAGAATAACAAGAACCTTATCCTTTGGATATGGGGAAATATGAAAAATCGTCCCCATATTATTTTTTTTACTATTTTCGAATATTCCCCCTGGAGAGGGACAGGCACGACTTAACACTGCCACCCGCCCGAGGGGGGGGTAGTGCCCTGGCCCGAGGAGTTCGCGCGGACCTCCGAGAGGCGAGTGGCACGCCGCTGGGCGCGCTTCGCGAAGCTAGGCTTGAGTCGGGCCTGTCCCTCGACAGGAGGAATAGTCAAGAATAGTAGAGAAAATCGTCAGGTGACGATTTTTCTTGTTGGTTTGGATATGAAGTACACCAGAGAAAATGCCCCAATCAGTGGATGGTTTTCGATGATGGAGATCGACCGGGAACCCGGGAACTCGGAACCCACCGAAATCGGCCCGGAACCAATCACCAGGAACCCGGGAACCCGGAATTGGGAACCGGGGAACCCAGCTGGCCACCAAAATCGGCGAGAAATGTTCGCCAAATCTTTCAATTTCCGCTAGGGCTCCTTCAGTGCAAGCATTGATTGGGGAATCTTTTTTTGACTATATGTTTAAGTCTTCTTCCAAAATCCGCCTGTAAGAGGACGTGCCCGACCGAAAGTTGGCTGGGTGACCTACAGCTTGCTCCCCATACATGGTAGCACCGTTCCCCCCCCGAAGTGCATCTCATGGGAGGTGAAAAGCAGCATCGGCGCTGGTATATCCGTGGGCGACAACCTGCATAATCCAGCAGCCACCTTCAGCACTTGGTCTAGTTCCGCTTAGTCTGGTGGTCCCATGCCAGGCCTAACCCGGCCTGATCAGGCTTCATGGCTCCATACTTTGGCCGAATCGCCCTTACTCGCTCTGACGAAAGCCTCACAGAAGTTGCCTCCTCACCGAAGCCTCGGCGCAGGCGGCCTCAACCGCGTCCCCGCGCAGCCGGCGTCCTGGGGCGGCAGCGGCAGCCTCAGGACGAGCCATCTCCCCCCCCCTCCTCCTCCAGTCGCGCCGCCTCTGCTCGGCCGGTGCCCCCCCGCTTCTCAAGGGCAAGGTCGAGAGCTGCAATAGGCTCAGGCTGGGGCCTCGTGATTCCAGGCTCGAGGTTTTCGGACGTGGTTTCTCGTCGGTCCTGCCTCGGGATGCTTTCCAGCGGCTGCGCCTCGCCGAGAGCGTCCCGGTGGTGCGCAGGTCGTTCCGAACGGCCGTCGGGGAGCCGAGTTATGACCCTAAAACCATCGGGGCCTGAGAGACGTGGGTCAACGCAAACGGGGGTCCGCCAGAGCGCCAAATCTTGCAGGATCCTGCAGGGCCTGGGGTGCATTGACCCGGGCTGGTGCGCAGCGTCCTGCAGGCTCTTGCAGGATCCTGCAACACCTAAATGGCCCGGGTTTGCGTTGACCCGGGTCGGTGCGTCCCTCATTTAAAACCCAGAGGCCAACGTCAGGGGGGATGGGCTCAGGGGGGGGGGAGGGCGTCGACCCCGAATCGCCCAATGACCGCCGACAGGAGCCTGATCTTTCATGCCGCCCTATCGACGACCTGCTGGCGATGTGTCGGCGATTCCAGCCCGACGTCCTCCCACCGAGCCACTCCCCCTACACGACGGTCGTTGAAAGGAGGTATTTTTGGATGCCCAAGTCCCGATCTACCTTACGCGCCTTCCTACTCCATGAGTCGATAATTGTGCTTTTGCTGTGCTTTGCAATTTCCTGGGAGGGCCTGAGCCCAGTATGCTTCATCCCCCTTCCTGCTGCTTGCTCTAACCCACCTCTTCCAACCGACGTGTACCGCTGCCCCTCGGTTTTTTCTCTCCCGAGTGATTCTCCGTGGCCCATGGCCCCCCTCGCGCCGTGGACGATGCACGGCGGAAAAGGCGTTTTTCCCCCCAAAGGGGCTTACACTACAGCGCCGGTTTTAATACATGCTCCGCGTGCGGATCATCTATCAAAAATAAAGGGGTTTAGTATTCAAGACAACGATGAGTTCATGCATAAATTTGTCCATCAATCAGTCATGTATTAGAAATCCCATATGTTTAAACTCCCGTGTGTTAAGAAACTGCCTTGTATTTCTTTTCCAGGGGACTGGGCCTGGCTGTCGCTCCCGCCTGCTCGTGGCCGCCCGTCGCCGCCGTCCCTGGTCCCGAGTTTTGACCGCGTGCGAGGCTCGTTCTCTGCACGGCTTTGCCTGCACTGCTCTGCTTTGCACTGCTCTGTAGCGCTTTTTGCATGGATTGCCATTGCTTCACGCTGCTTTGGACGGCTGTGCGTTGCACTGTATATTGCGCCACGTTGCTTCGAATGGCGCTACGCTGCCTGGCATCGAGTTGCACTGCTTTTTGCGCCGCGCTGCTCTGACTTGTTTTCCTCTGTGGTGCCTCGCATTGGTTTGCATTGCTTCCTGTTGTTTCGCATTGCATTGCTTCGCCTGGTTTTGCATTGCTTTACATTGCTTTGCATTGTCTTGCATTGCTTTGCAATCGCGTGCCATATTCCAGAGCTTTGAATTGCTTTGCGTCGTTTCGCAGTGCTTTGCATTGCTTCGCATTGCTTTGCATCGCCTTTTGCCACAGGCAGTGCACCACATGGGCTGCACCACTTTGACTGCCCCGCATAGATTGTAGGACATCGTTGTGTGTGGCCGACGCTGACTAGCATGGCCACCTTCGGCCTGGGGGTCCCTCACTGCGGGCCCCGTGGCCGACTGCCAAAAGATACGTTTGGCGAATCGCCGGTCCAGAGGTAGGGTGAACACGGGAGGTTCTGGCGTCGGGGGTCTGGGGAGGTTCTGCTGCCTGATGTGAAGCACCTGTTCCGTCTCTCGGCCTCCTCCGCGGCCGCCCTGTCTGTCTCGGTCTCTCCTCTTGCACGCCGGGCGATTCGCTCTTCGGTGGCCCCGTTTAGCCCGACCGCTGGTGCAGCAACCCTGCCCCGCCGCCGACGAAAGGAGTGTTCCGTCCACTCGGCCATCGTCGCGGGCCAGTGGGGGTCCGCATCCGAATGCCTTCTTTGGTCTGCGCCGCCCCGTGCGCACGGCAGCACGCGCCCGTGGGCGCTCCCGAACCCCGCGGGCCCAGGCTTAAGTCGGGCACGTGCCTCTACTGGAGGAGTATCCAAAAGTAGTCAAAACATAGTCCGGGGACGAATCTATGATCATTTGTTTAGATCACCTTCTTCCAAAGTCCACCTGTAGGAGGACATGCCCGACGTACAGCAAGCCTAGACTTCAAGCGTCACGAGACAGTCACGGAGCCTCCACCTTTACCCCTTCGACTTGGGCACCTGAATGCTCGACTCCGAGCCCGCGCTGCCAAAAGGCGACCTGGCAGCCTTGGTTCGGTTGTCTGTGGGCCCCTTTGGGGGCCTCCCCGGGTGCCGTGGCCGCCGCGGCCAGATCCGCCTCGTGTAGAGTCTTGTCTGATGCGCTCCCCAGGACAGGTCCGTGGCAGGTTCTTGATCTGGAAGCATTCGGCCACTGTCGCAGCCCCCCTCCCGCCCGTCCTCTTACCCCACCTCCCAGGGGAAAGGAGGGGCAGGGGGACGGAGGGGGAGGAGGATGGGTGGAAGGAGGGGGAAGAAGGGGAAGGAGGAGGAGGAGGAGGAGGAGCAGGAGGAGGAGGAGGAGGGCGGCGGAGGAGGAGGAGGAGGTTGGAGGAGGAGGAGGAGGTTGGAGGAGGAGGAGGAGGTTGGAGGAGGAGGAGGAGGAGGAGGAGGAGGAGGAGGAAGGAGGAGGAAGGAGGAGGAAGAGGAGGAGAGGGGGAAGGAGGGGAGGGGGCCTCCCTCCTCTTTCCCCCCCCCCTCCTCGCCGCCTCGCCCCCTCGCCGCCTCGCCCCCCCCCTCCTCGCCGCCTCGCCCCCTCGCCACCAGGACGGGACGCCTCGCGGGCCTCGCCGGCTCCTACAGCGAGGAGCCGGAGGCGGAGCGGTCCCCCGCGGTGCGGAGGCGCGCGCCCTGCCGCCGCCCGGCCTCGCGAATCGTCGCCGTCGTCGTCCTCGTGGTCGTCGTCCTGCTCTTCGTCCGCTCCGTAGTCCGTGTCGTGGTCGACGTCCTCCTCGTCGTCGTCGTCGTCGTCGTCGTCCTCGTCCTCGTCGTCGTCGTCGTCGTCGTCGTCGTCGTCGTCGGCGTCGTTCTCGTGGCCCCCCCGTCGGGCGCGCTCTCGTCGGGGACTCGGAGTTCAAGGAGCCGTCGCTTCGCAGGTGCGGCATGGTCATGTGTCGGGCCGCGCGCCTTGCGCAGGGATGGGCCCTCCCCCGGCAGCCCATCCCTCGCCGAGCAGGTAGATACTATGACTCTCTTGAGTGAGGACTCGGACGAGGATGAGCTCATGTTCGTCTGTGGTCTCGGGAGGTGCCCGAGGAAATCCCCCACTATGCACAGCCTCATCGCACATCAAGTACACACAAGCACCTGGCCATGGATGCCCTACTATATCATCTACCATCACGCTGGAAATAAAGAGTACATACGTGGTATGCGACACGGCTTTTAACAGCATCGAACACACTATCAGGCACCACCGTCGTTCTTGCGGCCTCCCTGGAGCTCTTGGCGACCGCGCCGCCACCACATGATGCCAATCCAGATCCGAAGCCAGCAAGGAAGACATCCCGAGCGAGGCCGCCCTCGCCAGCCCCAGCTCCGTCGGCTCCTCCGTCGGCCGCATCTGCTACTCCACGAGCGTGCACAGCTACACCCACTACATCGGCGCCGATTACACGGAGAAAGCAGACCCGAACTGCATCGGCACCGACCCTTGCAGACGATGGCGGACCAGGCGTGGCGCCTGCCGCGTTCCTCGACAGCGTATGGGACTGGTGGAGCAGGAAGCAGGCCTCACGAGCAGCAGCGAGCAGTTCGACCGCGGGTGGCGCGGCGAGGGGCGAGTCGGCGGAAAGGATTGCCGGTGGACGAGGGCAAGGACGCGGACTGGCCCAAGGGACCGCTGCGCCACCGTCGCGGAGGACAACGCCGCTGGAGAGTTCACAGCGAGAAGAAGTGGACCAGCAAAGACGGCAACCTACTCGCCATGAACCGAACGATGGCGAAGCTCCTCCTGCAGACAACGCAGCGCACTCGAGCGCTCCAGGCCAGCACCATGGAAGCGATCCAGCTGCCAGTGACCCACGCGGTGGTGATCGCGGTCGGGGACGAGCTCCAGCTGTACAGGAACGAGCTGGACCCGTTGAGGGCATCAACTGTCGAGGACAGGATGAAACTTTCGAACAAGGGCCCACCAACCGCGGCGTTCGCAGTCGCCATGACCGAGAGCATATCCCGGTGCGATGTCGGCGGAGCCGTTGCGGGCCTCGTGAAGGAGTTCCTTAGCTGCGTCCCGCATTCGGAGGGGGGCGAGCAGCTCACCGTCACCAAGACGGACATCGAGGACGCGATCGCCTTCCTCCGCCTGGAGCCCTGCCACGACGAGTCCTTCGCCAAGCTGCAGATCGCGATGAACGAGCGGCCGACGCGATCGACCATGATCCAGTTCCGAGCGGAGGGCATCGCTCGCGTGATGACGGGAGTCGCGCCACCGGGGTGTTTCGAGGAGGAATGCGGAGCACGGCTAGACAGGTTAACGACCAAGGCTTGAGGTAGCGTTCCCTGCCGTTGGTTCGAAGCCGCTCTCCTCTTCCAGCCTCGGGCCAGAAGTGCCTGGTAATTAGCGGATGGGAGCGACGCTCGAGGCCGTCCGAGATGTTCCTTCGCCCTGCGCCCCGAGAGCCGTGCATGCCAAGCCCCAGCGAACTCTGCATCTCTCCGACGCTTTTTCGCCTCGAGTGCTCGCACGGATTGTTCTCATAATGTGCCAGGAAGACGCCCCCTGGAGCGTCTTAGGCATATTTTCTGGCAGAGCGCTCTCAGAGGCCAGCGCCCTGCCGACGCACTTCTTGCCGCCGCCTGGCCCCCGTACGATTACGAAGCCGAGGATGAGGCGGCTAGATTTTTTGAGACCTCGTAGCTGAGAGAGAAGGAGACAGAGAGAGAGAGTGGGGAAAAGAGAGAGAGAGAGAGAGGGAGAGAGAGAGAGAGCGCACGCATGCCTGCCGCTCGTTGAGCCCCCCCCCTTGCGAGGCGCGCCGGGCACGGGCGAGCCGAGGGCCTCGCGCCCTGCGGCGGGGACATCTCAGTGATGGGCCATCCGACGCGTTCCTATGCAGACCTGCGCTGCGTGGTTTTGTCCCCCATGGAAAACATGGTCGCGTTCGTCGTGGTCGTTGTCGCCGTCGTCGTTGGTCTCGTCGTTGTCTTCCTCGACGTCGTCGTCCTCGTGCTCGCGGTCGTCGACTTCGTTCGTCGTCGTGGATGTCGTTGTGATCGTTGGCGTCGTCGTCATTGCCATCGTCGTTGCCGCCTCCGCCGTCATCGTCGTCGCCCTCCTCAACTTCGACGTCGTCGTCATCATAGTCGTCGTCGTCGTCGGCCGCGTCGACAGCGAGCCATCCCCGTCTTTGTCGCACGTGGCGAATCCAGAAAGCGTCGTCTGATCTGTCTCGTCCCCCCTCGCATTGCCACGCGACGGGTCGAATTCTGTGTTTCCGCCTCCTTGCGTTGCCACATGACGAGAGTAGAAGAGTACGCGTTCCGCCCTGAGCCCTTGCACTTCGGGAGTTTTATATCTGTTTCAAGGATTCTGGCTGGTGTGCCGCTCCGCCACCTGTGTAGCCGCCCCGTCGCCGCCTCGTCGCCGCCCGTCGTCTGGGCCGGTGTGCCGCTCTGGCGACGATGTAGTCGCTGTCGCCGCCCCGTCGCCGCGTCGTCCCCGCCCGTTGTCGGGGCCTGTGTGCCGCTCTGGCGGCTATGTGGTCGGCGTCGCCGCCCCGTCACCGCCTCGTCGCCGCCCGTCGTATGAGCCTTGTTGTGCATTGCGGTGCACTGCTTGCCTGGCTTTGCATTGGTGCGCATTACATATTGTTTTTTTAGCGTCGCACAGCGTAGATTGCATTACGTAGGTCGCATCACATAGATTTTCCTTTCTAAAACCAGGATAGACCCTACCCCCCCCCCCGGACTTATCCGTTCCCTTTTTTTCAGGTATGTAAATCATATATGATTCTGACCACTCGTCCATCCTAAATGAAAAATCGTATCATCCCAGCCAGGCCGGGTCCCCCCCCTGAGGTTCCCTTGTGAAAAACTATGCGGTGACATTTTTTTGTTATAACATCGCACTTCCTCGCGAATCCCTTCAGACGAAGTGCAGTCCAAGTGCAGACGCGCGCGTCGTCGCGCGCGCATGCCGAAATCCTTCAAAAACCTTCGGTGCCGGAAGGATTTCGCAATCGAGTTCCCAAAACAACATACAAAAACACAGGGTTTCGCAACATTGATTTGCTAAAAAAGCTTCCGCGCGAGCTCTTGCGAAATCTTAAGAACAGTTTTTCAAGATTTTCACAAAATGCTACCAAACGGGCTTCGCGCGCGCATGTCGAAATCAATCGAACGTCCTTGCGCGTGTGCCGTCGCGAGAATCCTTTGCAACAAACGGGACGAAGTGCAGACGCGCGCGTCGTCGCGGGCGTACGCCGAAAACCTTCAAAACCCATCGGTTTCTGAAGGATTTCAAAATCGTGCGTCCAAACAACCTACAAATACCAAAGGTTTCGCAACACGGGTTTTCAACAAAAGCGTGCGCGCGCGCTCTTGCGTCGTCGTCGTCGTCGTCGTCGCCGTCCTCCCTCCTCCCGCGTCGTCGTCGTCGTCGCCTACGTCGTCCTCTCTCTTTTCTCGTGTTCGTCGTCGTCGTCCTCTTCGGCGTCGTGGTCGTTTCCGTCGTCGTTGTCGCCGTGGTCGTCCGTCCTCTTCCTCCCACGTCGTCGTCGTCGTCCATCGTCGGCGTCTCGTCGTCGGTTCTATTTCGTCACCGTTGTCGTCGTCGTTGTCGTCGTCTTCCCTCCTCCCTCGTTGTTGTCGTCGTCGGCGTCGCCGTCCTTCCTCCTTCGTCGTCGTTCGCGTCGTCGCCGTCCTCCCTCCTCCCTCGTCGTTGTCGTCGTTGTCGTCGTTGTCGCCGTCGTCGTCCTTCCTCCTCCCTCGTCGTTGTTTTCATTGGCGTCGTCGTCGTCGTCTTCGTCGTCGTCGGCGTCGGCGTCGTTGTCGTCGTCGAAGTCGTCGGAGATGTCGTCGGTGTCGTCGTCGTCGTTGTCGTCGGTGTCGTCGTAGTCGGTCTTAAGAGGTTTTGCAAGCCAAGTTGCGGGTGGGAGGGTGGGATGTTTGCGCGAGCAGTGTAGAGGACAGCTTTAAGTTGAGCAAGTGATTAATTCTCCTTTCAAAAAAAGAATAGACTCTACCCCCCCCCCGACTTATCAGCTCCCCCTGGGATAGTATGATTTCATATATATTTTTATATATATATATATACACACGTCCATCCTAAATATGAAATCGTACCATCCCAGCTAGGCCGGGTTCCCCCCCTGAGGTTCCCTTGTGAAGAACACTATGCGGTGACATTTTTTGTTCTGACATAGCACTTTTTCGCGATTCCCTTCCAAAAAATGGGACGAAGTGCAGACGCGCGCGTCGTCGCGCGCGCATGCCGAAATCCTTCAACAATTTTCGGTGCCGGAAGGGTTTCGCAATCGAGTACAAAAAATGCATACAAAACACATGGTTTCGCAACACTGATTTGCTAAAAAAGCTTCCGCGCGAGCTCTTGCGAAATCTTAAGTCAACCATCGGTTTTTCAAGATTTTCACAAAATGCTACCAAACGGGCTTCGCGCGCGCATGTCGAAATCTGTCGAACGCCCTTGCGCGTGTGCCGTCGCGAGAATCCTCTGCAAGAAATGGGACGCAGTGCAGACGCGCGCGTCGTCGCGGGCGTATGCCGAAAACCTTCAAAACCCGTCGGTTTCGGAAGGATTTCAAATCGTGCGTCAAAAAAAACCTACAAAACCCAAGATTTCGCAACACGGATTTTCAACAAAAGCGTGCGCGCGCGTTCTTGCGTCGTCGTCGTCGTCGTCGCCGTCCTCCCTCCTCCCGCGTCGTCGTCGTCGTCGCCTAGGTCGTCCTCTCTTTTCTCGTGTTCGTCGTCGTCGTCCTCTTTGGCGTCGTGGTCGTTTCCGTCGTCGTTGTCGCCGTGGTCGTCCGTCCTCCTCCTCCCACGTCGTCGTCGTCGTCCGTCGTCGGCGTCTCGTCGTCGTCCCTCCTATTTCGTCGCCGTCGTCGTCGTCGTTGTCGTCGTCGTCTTCCCTCCTCCCTCGTCGTTGTCGTCGTCGGCGTCGCCGTCCTTCCTCCTTCGTCGTCGTTCGCGTCGTCGCCGTCCTCCCTCCTCTCTCGTCGTTGTCGTCGTTGTCGTCGTTGTCGTCGTTGTCGTCGTCGTTCCTCCTCCCTCGTCGTCGCCTTCGTTGGCGTCGTCGTCGTCGGCGTCGGCGTCGGCGTCGTTGTCGTCGTCGAAGTCGTCGGAGACGTCGTCGGTGTCGTCCTAGTCGTTGTCGTCGGTGTCGTCGTAGTCGGTCTTAAGAGGTTTTGAAAAACCAAGCTGCGGGTTGGTGGGTGGGTTGTTTGCACGAGCAGTGGAGAGGACAGCTTCAAGACAGTCAAAGTGGATTACGCCACATATATTGCACTACATATGTTGCAAAACGCAGATGGCAAATTATACACTGCACCACGTAGAGTGCACCGCGTAGATCGTACCACATATATTTCAACACCTTGATTGCACACAGCATACATTGCACAAAATAGATTGCACCACATAGACTGTACCACATAGGTTGCACAACATATATTGCTACAAAAACACCGTTGGGGTCCACGCTGGCTAACATACAATAGTGTTTGTTCGCCCCCCCTTCCCGCAGGCGTTGCCATGTGACGCCTAGAGGAGAATACTATTTGTTTCCGCCCCCCGCCGCTGCCACGTGACGTGTATATCATCGTCGATTCATTTGTATTTTGCCTCCAGTCGTTGACACGTGACGTGAAGAATCGAATGCGATTTGTTCTGCCCCCCCCGACAAGCTGGCGTGCCCACGTTGCGGGTACAGTTGACGATCGAGGATTTTCCACGCCCCGTGGAGTCCTTAGGATTGGAGTCCTTAGGATTCTCTTTGGAACACTGTCGTTTTCCTACGATTCCCCTGGGAAGCCCAACCATTTCTCAAGGATCCTCACGGATTCAGAAACAGGCCGTGCGGATTCTCAAACATTCTGAAGTTTTCTGGTGAACCTCCAGGTTCAACAGAAAAACGAACACCAAAGAGAACTAACGCTGGACAGCCGGGCGGGCCAGCTAGACACCACAACAACATTTACATAAGCAAACAGTAAGGGCACTACAGCACAAAACCGATTCGATTGCATGATGACGGATGCCAGAACAACTCGACGGATACAAGACACCGCGAGTACCAACACATGGTAAGGATCCATTGGGCCTGGATACCATAAGCAAGTGGATACGATCAACAAGAAAGGGATTGAATCCATTTGTTACATATATATAGAGAGATGTATACAGATGGTGGTGTACCTGTGTTCGGATTTGCTGTGGTACCCCATTGTTTGTGATTCGGTTTCTGGGTCTGGCCCCCTTGTAGAGGAGAGAGAATTCAAAACACCACGGGACTCGTGACGACCACATATTTATAGACATATCTATATATATATATATATGCGTATATATACATACATGCATTCAGACAGACATAATTACTTACTTACTTACGTACTTACTTACTTTTATACTTACATGCCTACATACTCACATACTTACATACTTATATACTTACATACTTAAATACATACATACAAACATACATACATGCATGCATACATACATACATACATACGTACGTACGTACGTACATAAATACATGCATGCATGCATACATGCATGCCTGTATTCGAGCGCGTGCCGTTCATGTGTACATACGCATACGTGTAGGGCGCAAGGCCATCCCTGGAGCCGTCCACACCCGCCCGCGCCCGAGGCCCGCGCCCGCCGCCGCGCGGCCGGTGCGCGTCGGCACGCGAGGCTCTCGGGGGGGGGGGCGGGCGCCTTTGCAGCCGCTGCTGCGTTCTGCGAGCCGGCGGCGCCCTTGAGACCACCTGGGCTCGGGGAGGAGGAGGAGAAGGAGGAGGAGGAGGAGGAGGAGGAAGAGGGGGAGGGGGAGGGGGAGGGGGAGGGGGAGGAGGAGGAGGAGGGGGAGAAGGAGGGGAAGGAGGAGGAGGAGGAGGAGGAGGAGGAGGAGGGGGAGATGGGGCAGGCGGGAGCCTTGAGACGGGGGTCAAGGCACACGGGGGTCAGCCAGAGCACCCCGATATTGCAGGATGCTGCAAGGCCAGGGTCGCATGGACCCGGGCTTGGGTGCAGGATCCTGCAGGATCTGGCAGGACCCTTCGCATCGACCCGGGCTTGGGTGCAGGATCTTGCAGGATTCTGCAAGGCCTGGCTGACCCGGGTCTGGATTGACCGGGGTCATAAGATCCCCGAGGCAGGCAGAAGGGGCGGGCCTTCTCCCCAGACCCCCTCGCGCAATGAAAAAATCACGACGGGAGGCTTTTCTGTGTTTTCGGCCCCGGGGGGCCCCTGCCGGACCTCGGGGCCGCCAAGGAACGGCTCAGGATGAGAAGCCGGTCCCGGGAAAAGGTCCAGGCCTCTGGGGGTCGACGTTTTGAACAAATCACGACATCGGGGTCTTTGCTGAAGATTTCTTCAGCGGCACCGTAAAGGGTACTCACGAACGGATTTAATTTTAAAGGTTGCCGAAAGTTGCCACTTTAGGCCCCCTTTCCCTTTGTGGCATGCCAGCGTTGCCCATATCGGGAAAGGTTGGCTTCGCCGGGTCACCGGCCAAAGTGCGCGTCAGTGGCGTTCCCTTTAGAGGGGCGCGGAGCAGGCGGATGGTGAGGGTCTTCTCTCCTCAGGCTCAGAAGCCCCGTGGTCTTTACATTAACTCGGGCCTGTCCCCCTACAGGGGGATTTTCGACGAAAAATAAAAATACCCCAAAATAATCCAAAAGTAGTCCAAAAATAGTCTGGGGATTATTTTTTTGAATATTTTTAAGCCCTTTTGGGGTATTTTTGGGGTATTTTCCACTTTTCGTCGAAAATCCCCCTGTAGGGGGACACGCCCGACAGAAGGCTTCCGAGGAGCCCCGCCGCCCGCCGAGGGGGCCCCGCCCTCGCTCCCTTCCCCCCCCCCCGCCCGTCGGCGCGCCGCGGGGAGGCCTGCTGCGAGCGCGCCTGCCCCGGAGCGCCCCGTGGTCGTCGTCGGCGGCGTCGTCACGGAAGCGGCCCCCGCCTCCTCGCGTCGAGGGCACGGTGCGCCGTGAGGCTTCTGGCGCTCTTCGGCCCCGAGGCCTCCTGGGGTCCACACTGCGAGAAAGTCACGGCGTCAGGTCTGGGGGGGCGACGTCGTCGCCGTCTAATTTCTAAATGGCTGCGTGGGACTGCCTTCGACCCCAGACCTCCGACGCCATGATGTTCCAATCCCAGCGCGTTTCCACAGGAACGTGCCATGGGGCCGTTTCTGGTATCATCAACCAACGGCAAGGGACAACGGGCCCCAGGCCCCAAGGAAAGGTGCGGGAGTTCCGGGGCCGGCGAATAAAACAAACAACGTCGGAGGTCTGAGATTTTCGTCGCCTGTGCTCCCAAGACACGCCGCGTGTATCCTTCGCCATCGTGGCCGGCCACGGTTTCGTACGGTTACAGGAGCACGCGGTATCGGCACGCTTGGCTCAGTCCAGTCACTATTGCAGTCAACCCGCATAGTAAGGACGGGCAATCTTCCCAAGGGTACCCTTGCATCCTTGCCTCCTCGGTCCATTCTTAGCCACTTTCGTTGGCCGCGCCCAGCTCGAAAAGCTCCAGACTGGGCGTCCAAGGCTCTTTGAATCCGTATCGCGCATCCTCACTATGCGGGTAAACTGTAGTACTGTTGGCACTGGTAGCGCAACCTCCTGGCTCCTGCTCTCTCTCGAGGGTCTGAGGGAAGGCTCGGCCCTCCCGGTGGCTTAGGGCTCGTCCAGCGCGTCCTTCTCACAAGTGGAGCTTAAGCTGCACATGTTCGGCAGCGCTCTCAGCGCTTGCGTGCTACCCGTCTCGGGAGGACGAACTTGAATAAGAGGATTATCTCCGTCTACTGGAGGAATATGCAAGGATAGGAAACAAATGCTCTGGGGACGAGTGTTCGTACTCTATTGGCTAGTTTTGTTTTTGTTTGACTATTTGTTCTTCCCAAATCCACATGTCGGAGGACATGCTCGACCTAACAACAGGTCCCTGCCTCCGCCCCCCGACGTGTGCTCCCTGGCCCTGAAGGCTCCATCCTCAGAGTTCCGAGAGCTGGGCCACAGCTGTATCATTACTGATCTCGATGGTGGCTCGTTGGATCGACTTTGCCAGCCACAACGGTCCGAGAGCTGGGCCACCGCAGTGTCGTTACCGATCTCGACGGTGGCTCGTCCGATCGAACTTGCCGGCACTGCGCCGCGACTCTCGCTGGCGGGAGACCAGAGCAGGCTCCGCCCCTGACTCGGTCTCTGAGCGGGGCTGGAGCGTGAGGCCTGCGCGATGCCTGGCGCCGTTGCCGACTCCGCTGCCGATTCCCGGCAGGGCCTCGCCCTCCCCTCCGTGGTGCGCGTGGGCACCTCGGTTGCCGCTGGTTGCAGCACGTAAGCCATCCCCGTCCTCCGTCCCCCCTTGGGCCGGACGAAAGGGTAGGATAGGGAAAGGGGGGGTTACGAAATCTGTTTCGTGCAGCTGGTTTCCTCCCCGCCGCCGGGCCCGTTCCTCGATGCATGGGCGCCTCCCGGCGCCAGAAGGCGCCAGGAATTGAGCAGTGGCGAAGCGTCTTGGCTTGCTTTTAGGCCCACCCAGGAATTGTCTTAGAACCTTTCGTGGTCTGCATGAAATGTTCTAATAACATTTATGGCTGAGACTGTCGTGTTTCAGCACATCGGCTTTATGTTCTAGGCATGCTGTTTTTGTTAGTAGAACATGTTAGTGTTCAAGTGCATGTCGTAGTAGGCCTATAGGAATGCCGGAACGGTCGGTCCCTGCTCAAAGGAAAGGAAAGTTAGCTACTTGACCTGATTCTCTACCCTGCCCTTTGCTGTCCTACCCTTTCGCCCCCCCCCGACCCTCACCCTCGACCTTCTCTTTCTCGCCCTTCGCGCAGGCAGCCGTAGCACAGAGGGGGGCGAGCGTAAAGGAGGCCTCGCCTTGGTCTGAGATTGACTCCCCCCTTCCTTGGTACCCCGTGTTGAGTTTTGCGCAGGTGCCCTCAGAGGATGTAAAGGTACCCATACTTGCCACGTTCTTCCCTTTTTCGGCCTCCTGGGAAACCATCGTCGGCACCGCTGGATTCGCCTGGAAATTCTGGTCAGAACGCACCCTGGGAGAGGTCCCGGGAGTAGTGGTATCGGTACCTTCTGGTCTCCCCATATCCAGTGGTCTCTCGAGGGGGTCGGTTGCTTGGTTGACCCCCCCACGTGCCTCGGGATGGCATGCCCGTGGTAATCAAGTCCATCAGCGTCATGCCCATACATCCGACGGTGTGCATTTTTAATCCGCAGCCCCAGAGGTCGCGACCCTTCTCCTTGGGGCAGTTTTTTGTCCGGATTCGTTTTTCCCCACTATCCTGTTGTTTTGGGTCTTCGTTTGAAGAGACAGCGCCCCGCGTCCTTCTTCTTCCTCCTCCTCCTCCTCCTCCTCCTCCTCCTCCTCCTCCTCCTCCTCCTCCCCCACCTCCTGCTCCCTCCTTACCTCTGCCCTCCGCATGTTCGTTACGGCACACTACTCACGCGTTTCGCGGCTTCACAGGGAGCTCCACCCAGGGCACCAGTGGCATGGTCCACATGCGTCTCCCCGCCCACTGCGTGTCCATTTCGGCGCACCACTCACACGCTCCCTTGGCCCCATGATGGGCTCCATCAGAGGCCCGAGTGGCAGGGTCCGCATGCGTCTCCCCACCCACCGCATGTCGAATTCGGCACACCCCTCACACGCTAACGTGGCCCTAGAGGGAGCTCCACCCGGGGCCCCAGTGGCAGGGTCCACATATTGCGTCTCCCCGACCACCGCATGTTCATTTTGGCACACCTCTTACACGCTTCGTGGCCCCATTAGGGAGCTCCACCCATGGGACCCAGTGGCAGGGTCCACATGCGTCTCCCCGCCCACCGCATGTCGAATTCGGCACACCCCTCACACGCCTCCGTGGCCCAATGTGAGGGGGCTCCACCGAGGGCCGCAGGGTCCACATGCGTCTCACCGCATGTCCATTCCGCCACAACCCTCACACGCTCCGTTGACCCATAGGGAGCTCCATCGAAGGCCTCAGTCGCAGGATCCGCGAGCGTCTCCCCGCCCACCGCATGTCCATTTCGGCACACCCCTCACATGCTTCGTGTCCCCGTAGAGAGCCACATGCGTCTCCCCACCCACCGCATGGTCATTTCGGCCCACCTCTTACACGCTCCCCTGGCCCCACAGGGAGCCCCACCCTGGGCGCCAGGGGCATGGTCCACATGCGTCTCCCCGCTCACTGCGTGTCCATTTCGGCGCATCCTCAGACGCTCCCGTGGCCCCATGAGGGGCTCCATCAAAGGCCCGAGTGGCAGGGTCCGCATGCGTCTCCCCACCCACCGCATGTCGAATTCGGCACACCCCTCACACACTCACGTGTCCCTAGATGGAGCTCCACCCAGAGCCCCAGTGGCAGGGTCCACATGCGGCTCCCCGCCCATTCTGGCACACCCCTCACATGCTCCGTGACCCCACAAGGGGGGCTCCCCCTGCTTCCTTCGGCTTCCCTTGCGGGACTCAACACTTGAATGTGGGTCTTTCGCCAGGATCGTCTGATGGCCCTGGAGCCCGATGGCGGCCCCCGGGGCCGAAAATCGAGGAAGAGCGCCTGGATCGAAACAAACGTACAGTCGGGGCGCTGACGAAGGAACCCTTTTCGTGTGGGAGGGGCTCGGTGTTCCTTGATTGTTTTACAGTTTGCCTCGGGTTTTCCATGGGACATCGAAGTTAAACTTATGGGAAAAAGGGGCCTCGTTCCTTATCTAGGTTTCCTCAGGTCAACGCCCCGACTGTATCGTCGGAGATCTGCGCGCTGTCGCCGTCGACGGTGCCGAGTCCCGGGGGCGGCCAGGCCAGACGCCGCCGGCCCGCCGGCAGTAGGCGGCCGCCGTCCCCCCGGGCCGGGCCGCCGCTCCCGCGCGCGCTCGCGCCGCCGATTGCCACGAGCCACGAGGGGGGTCTCGGGGCAGGCGCCCTGGATCGGAGGGGGGAGATGCGACAGCACCACCAGGGGGCCCACCTCCAGCGAGGAGGTCCACGATGCCTCCCCGAGCTGGAGGCTGGGGATGTCTCGAGCGAGAGGGGGGGACCACACCACCAGGGAGACCCCCCCTTTGCTCCTCGCATCTTCTTGCCCTGTTGCTGTTCGTGTCGCCTTTCCTTGTTCCTACTGGAGGGACCGGGAGGTCGAGCCCAGGCGGTTTTTGTTAATCGATGCCTTGGATGTGGAAGGAGCAGAAGGGAGGGGAGGAGTGGAAGAAGTGGAAAGGATGGGGAGAGGAGTGGGGAGAGTGGAGAGGAGGGGATCGAGAGGAGGGGAGGGGAGAGGATGTGGAGGAGGGGAGATGAGGGGAGGGGATGAAGAGGAGGGGAGGGAGGGAGGACAGGGGGGCAGGGATCTGCCTTCCCCCCCCCCGCGCGGGGGTCGGTCTCTGGCTGCCACCCCGCGGGTCTCTCGGCCTGCCCCCCCCCCCCAGGGCGGCAGGAGAAGCAGAGGAAGGTTTGTGCTGTGGCGTTCGGCCATGAGCGGCGACCGGAGGGTGGTTGGTGGACGGGAAGGTTGGCGCGGGGCGTGTGCCGCCGCCAAAGCCTTGATCAAGATAGGCCTCCATGACAACAACAACAACAACAACAACAACAACAACAACAACAACAACAACAACAACAACAACAACGTGACATAAACATTCGTGCCGCGCCACGAGCAGACGATGCACGGCGGGAGACGTTCGCCCGCCTGTGGCCTCCAGGGGCCCCAGCACCTCAGGTCGTCAGAGAATTACTCGGTGTGAGGAGCCGGCACGGGGGAAGGGGTCGAGGCCCTTGGGGGGCCCACCGTGTGGACAACTTGTTACGACGGAAGTCTGGAAGTTCAGGAGTTCCCAAAGCAGTGCCCGCACTTGGGGCCTCAGGGGTTTTAGCTTCTCCTGGTGGGTATCTGGTTGGGTCCGCCGTGGTTTCGCCTGGCGCCTGGCTGGTGGCCGGTCATGGGCGCCTGGCGCCTGGTCGGTGGGTCCGCAGGGGTTACGCCTGGTGCCCAGTTGGTGGCCGGTCTGCAGCGCCTCGTTGTCGGCCCGTGCGTTGGCACAGAAGCGGTAAAGGCACACGGTTTTCATTGAAAGTATGTCCGATGTCCTGTCCGCGCGCATGTGCTGACATCGCAGGAAAGGAATATTGTTTTAGCAATCTCGTCCAGAAGCCACATTCTCATCTCTTCACGCGGTGCATCCGCGTTGTGCCCAGTGCACGAATCCGTATCAAATGGTACAATGTGGGCCAAAATACGTGCGTCGCCAAGCGCGCGTGTCGGAATCCTTCAAAACCATTGGTTCTCAAAGCATTTCAAGAGGGCAGTCTTCAAGCACATATGAAGTTCCAGTAGTCTTCAAGAGGAAGATTGTCGGTTGTATTGCACTTCTGTACGCGCGCACTTCCTCATTATCTTCATCAGCGCCATCGCATCACCGCCTGCACCGTCATCGTCAATCGCCGCAGTTGCACCAGCATCGTCACCTTCATCACCGACACATGGACATCATCATTGTCATCTTCGTCACCAGCATCGTTGCCGTCATTGGTCTCGCCGACGTCAGCGTCATCATCGCCACCACCATCGCTATTCACTCCAGCGTTGCCGCCTTTGACGGCGTCATCGTGATATCGTGTCTGCCCGACCGAGTCACCGACCCGCACTGAAGTGCATGGGCGCCAGCGTTGCCTTCGAAACGCGTCGGGACGTTCAAAATGGTACGCGCCATCCCGGCCACATCAGTTGTGCCAAATCAGCTGGTCGCTCTGCGCGCGAGCGTGCGGGATTCAGCGCAGCCGTAGAGACGCGCTAGCAAGTGCCAATCAGTAACCGCAATCGCGGCCGCGGTGCATTTGCCAACGAGGTTGCGGGTTTGAGGGGGGGATGTTTGCGCAAGAAGTGGGATTGTCAATTCGCGAGTGGCAGAACTAATCGCGCCACGTAGCTTGTACCACATATCGTATAGCCAAAGTGCAGCAATGCACTGCTCGGGGCCCACACTGACAATTATTTTGGAATGTGCACTGGGGAGTTTGGGGGGATCTCCTGGGGCGCCCCAGTGGCCACGGCTGGATCCGATTCGCAAGCTTGGGCTGAACGGCCGAGCGCACCTCGGGATCGGTCTGGAGCGGTAATTTCGATTCCAGGCTCGGGGCCTCCCTAGGCGTTGCGAACGAACCGTTACGAGGGCAAGGATTTAGGGGGCTCTTGGCTTGTCTGAAAGGTCGCAGGGAAGGTGACATGAGGGGTTCCAGAAAGGGCCTCGGCCTCGAGATTCGAAGGAGTTGCCATCTCCTCCTCGGCGGAAGGTGGCGGAAGGGCGGCGGACGCACGCGGAAGTAAACCGAGGCCGCCTGCGCCGGCGGAAGCCACCTGAAGGCCGGCGGAAGTTGGGGGAAGTAAAATATTGAGAAAGACAATTCTCGTGTCGGGAGGAAAGGGTTGGGAGCATACAGGGTACCGCTGTATAAGAAACACCTTCCGCATACGCGGTAATATGGATGATCTGACCATTTCTCCCAAACCCATCCTCCCAACCCGGGGATTGCCTTTCTGACAGATGCGCCCCCTAGAGATGGCAGCGTTTTTGCGGTTTAGGATTTCTGGAGCCGGCCGCATAGGTGCGGGCCTCACGGAAGCCCCAGGGCTCCTGTCCGTCAGGGCACCTTTGTGGCTCGTGGCAGTACAGGGCGTGCGGGCCGTTTTTCCTCCTGGTAACGGAATTGTTGTTCACACTGCTGTCGGAGCCCTTCTAGCCCAGACCTCCTCGAGTGTTGAAGAATCAGGGCGGGAGGTTTTGTTTGCTACTTTCGGCACCTGGGGGCGCTTACAAGGTCTCGGGACCTCGAAACTACCGGGGATGAGGAACCCGTCCCGAGGAATGGGTCGAGACCTTTGGGGGTCGACGTCATGAAAACATGACGACGTCAGGGGTCTGGGAAGGATGCCGTGATTTATCCAGGGTGCCCTTGCATCCTTGCCGCCTCTTCCCACGCCCATGCCAGGGGCCATGGTGGCTCCTGGCCCCACGCCGCTGCACTTGCCTCGGCGGCGATGTCCAGTCCAAGGGCCGTGCATCTTCGCGTCGCATCCTTGCGACGGGCTTGGACTGTGCAGGCCGTTCGCTTGAAGTAGGTATTTCCAGCTTCCAGAACCCAACCTTCTCGAAGCGCGCTCCGACTTCAACAAACGAAAAGTGGGCATCCCTTTGCCTTGCCTGTTTCGGGGGTGGGGCGAGACCGAGATTCAGTCCACTTTGATCGCGCTGCTCCCCTAATTATGTTTCTACCTACTTTTTCCGAGCGGCCTGTACGTGGAACCTGTGGGGGGGGGAGGAGGCCACCTCTGCCCAACAATGGTTTCGTCACTCGGCGCGTGGGTGGCCATTGGACGGAATCTGTCGGTCCCGGGCTGCCTCGGGCACGGCGCGGATGGATAGCTGGGCGCGGGGGGAGGCAGAGGAGGCCCTCCCCTCCACACCCCGCAGATCCGACAGCATTCGGTGGCGCGCAGGCGGGGGATGGGGCGAGAAGTGGGGCCTTCCAGAAGGCACGGACCCCCCCCGGGAGCCTTCTCCGGAAGCTCCGAGAACCCGTTTGGGAAGACGCTTCCTTCAGGGAAGGCGCCCCCCCCTCGCCTCAAGTCGGGCGTGTCCCTCTACAGGAGGAAAATCCAAAGATAAATAAGACATCCTCTGGGGATGATCACTTATTTATATATACATAGACTATTGCATGATGTTTGTTTTGTTGTTTTGTTGTTCGTGCAAATTCCGCCTGTAGGGGGACATGCCCGACCTAATCCTCGCCCCACAGCCCTTCCGGCGCGCCCCCAAAACGGGGGCCCAAAGAATTGTACACCACCACCACGCCGATTCCTCCTCTCTCCCCTCTACCCTCATCTTCCCTTCCTCTTCCCCGAGGGAGGGAGGGGGTGAGGGAGGTGGTGGTGTATATGTTTGGGCCCCCCACAAGAGTCATTCCCTGCCACGGATGTGTTGTGTGTCCGAGCCTGGCCCTGCAGGGGGCGCCTGCGCGGCCCGGGCCGCCCGGCGTCGCTGACGGCGCGCGGGCGCCCCAGGAAGTTCACGGAGGGGTGGCAGGGCGGCAGGGCGGCCTCCCTCGCCAGGAGCGCGCGTGGGAGCAGGGCCTGACGCGTGCAGGGAGTCGGCGGGCTCGCCTGCAAGGATGATGATGATGATGATGATGATGATGATGATGATGATGATGATGCTGATGATGATGATGATGATGATGATGCTGATGATGATGATGATGATG